GGAATGCTTCCAGTTTTTCTCCATTTAGTATGATGTTGGCTGTGTTGATGTACATTTCCTCCAGTCCAATTACTTCTAGGACTTTAAACATAAAAGCATGTTGAATTTTGTTAAAGGCCTTTTCTGCATCTATTGAGATGACCATGTGGCTCTTGTGTTTGAGCCCATTTATGTGATTTATGACATTTATTAACGTATGTATATTGAAGCACCCCTGCATCTCTGGGATAAAGCTGACTTGATCATGGTGGATGATCTTTTTTATGTGTGTCTGTATGTGGTTTGCAAGTATCTTGTTGAGAATTTTTGCATCTATGTTCATTAAGGATATGGATCTATGGTTTTCTCTTTTGGTTGTATCTTTACCTGCCTTTGGTATTAGAGTGATGCTGGCTTCATAGAAGGAATTTGGACATTCTCCCTCCATTTCTATCTTTTTGCATAAATTAAGTAGTAATGGATGTAGATCGTCTTTAAATGTCTGATAGAATTCTGCTGTAAATCCATCTGGTCCTGGGCTTTTTTTAGTCAGGAGGTTTTGTATTACTGTTTCAGTTTCTTTTTGTGTTATGGGTCTGTTTAAGCTGTTAATCTCTTCTTGGTTTAGTTTTGGTGGTTCCCATGCCTTTAGATATCCTTCCGTTTCTTTTAGGTTTTCAAATTAAGTAGCATATAGGTTTTTAAAATATTCCCTTATAATGTTCTGTATCTTTCTGGTGACTGTTGTGATGTTTACCCCTTCATCTCTGATTTTGTTCATATGGAGGTGCTCTCTCTTTCTTTTGGTTAACTTGGGTAGTGGTCTGTCCATCTTGTTTAGCTTTTCAAAGAACCAGCTCTTGGATTTCTTGATTCTTTGTATTGTTTTCTTTGTTTAAATTTTGTTAAATTCTGCCCTGATTTTTTTTATTTCTTCTTGTCTGCTGGGTTTGGGTTTCATTTGCTGTTGCTTTTCAAGTGTCTTGGGTAGCAATGTTAAGTCATTTATTTGTGTTCTTTCTGATTTTTTGATGTAGGCACTAAGAGCTATAAACTTCCCTTTAAGGACCGCTTTTAGCGTCTCCCAGAGGTTTTGTTGTGTTTTATTGTCCTTTTCATTTAATTCCAGGAATACTTTTATTTCTTTCTTGATTTCTCCTTTGACCCACTCATTGTTTAGGAGTTG